CAATGGTCACCACCAGCACCCTCACAATGGTCACTACCAGCACCCTCACAATGGTCACCACCAGCACCCTCACAATGGTCACCACCAGCACCCTCACAATGGTCACCACCAGCACCCTCACAATGGTCACCACCAGCGGCCCTCACAATGGTCACCACCAGCACCCTCACAATGGTCACTACCAGCACCCTCACAATGGTCACCACCAGCGGCCCTCACAATGGTCACCACCAGCACCCTCACAATGGTCACCACCAGCACCCTCACAATGGTCACCACCAGCGGCCCTCACAATGGTCACCACCAGCACCCTCACAATGGTCACCACCAGCACCCTCACAATGGTCACCACCAGCACCCTCACAATGGTCACCACCAGCACCCTCACAATGGTCACTACCAGCACCCTCACAATGGTCACCACCAGCACCCTCACAATGGTCACCACCAGCACCCTCACAATGGTCACTACCAGCACCCTCACAATGGTCACCACCAGCACCCTCACAATGGTCACTACCAGCACCCTCACAATGGTCACCACCAGCACCCTCACAATGGTCACCACCAGCACCCTCACAATGGTCACCACCAGCACCCTCACAATGGTCACCACCAGCACCCTCAAAATGGTCACCACCAGCGGCCCTCACAATGGTCACCACCAGCACCCTCACAATGGTCACCACCAGCACCCTCACAATGGTCACCACCAGCACCCTCACAATGGTCACCACCAGCACCCTCACAATGGTCACTACCAGCACCCTCACAATGGTCACCACCAGCGGCCCTCACAGTGGTCACCACCAGCGGCCCTCACAATGGTCACCACCAGCACCCTCACAATGGTCACCACCAGCGGCCCTCACAATGGTCACCACCAGCACCCTCACAATGGTCACCACCAGCGCCCCTCACAATGGTCACCACCAGCACCCTCACAATGGTCACCACCAGCGCCCCTCACAATGGTCACCACCAGCACCCTCACAATGGTCACCACCAGCACCCTCACAATGGTCACCACCAGCACCCTCACAATGGTCACCACCAGCACCCTCACAATGGTCACCACCAGCACCCTCACAATGGTCACCACCAGCACCCTCACAATGGTCACCACCAGCACCCTCACAATGGTCACCACCAGCACCCTCACAATGGTCACCACCAGCGGCCCTCACAATGGTCACCACCAGCACCCTCACAATGGTCACCACCAGCACCCTCACAATGGTCACTACCAGCACCCTCACAATGGTCACTACCAGCACCCTCACAATGGTCACTACCAGCACCCTCACAATGGTCACCACCAGCACCCTCACAATGGTCACCACCAGCACCCTCACAATGGTCACCACCAGCACCCTCACAATGGTCACCACCAGCACCCTCACAATGGTCACCACCAGCACCCTCACAATGGTCACCACCAGCACCCTCACAATAGTCACCACCAGCACCCTCACAATGGTCACCACCAGCACCCTCACAATGGTCACCACCAGTGGCCCTCACAATGGTCACCACCAGCACCCTCACAATGGTCACCACCAGTGGCCATCACAATGGTCACCACCAGCACCCTCACAATGGTCACCACCAGTGGCCATCACAATGGTCACCACCAGCGGCCCTCACAATGATGACCGTCACTCGCTAAGTGATTTCATTGTGTCTTCCGCGCCGCTTGTGTTGGTGTGGTTGTGTGAGTGGTGGTGGTGTGGTGGTTGTGTGGTGGTGTTGTGGTGGTGGTGTGGTGGTGGTGTGGTGGTTGTGTGGTGGTGTTGTGGTGGTGGTGTGATTATGTTGTGTTGGTGGTGTAGTTGTGGTGTGGTGGTGTGGTGTTGGTGGTTGTATGTTGGTGGTGTGTTGGTTGTGTAGTTGTGGTGTGGTTGTGAGGTGGTGGTGGTGTGGTTATGAGGTGTTGGTGGTGGTGTTGGTTGTGTAGTTGTGGTGTGGTTGTGAGGTGGTGGTGGTGTGGTTATGAGGTGTTGGTGGTGGTGTTGGTGTGGTGTGGTTATGTGGTGTGTTGGTTGTGTGGTAGTTTTTTTCGTTTTTTTTATTCATAAAGCACAATAAAATGACCAAAAACATTACAAGCAATGATCCGGTGAAAGCATAAAGGCAAAAACATGAGGACAACAAAAACAGAAACACAAAACTGATACACAAACAAACACAAAACAGGACAAACTGAAATAACACAGGAAACACAAACAAACTCACAAATCATATACACACACACAGAACTAGCCCGCAGCAAAGAAAATACGGTTAAAGAACGCTACAAAGCATGAGGGGATAAATCCAGCCAGAAGGGCCACATGAGAAGAGCAACAAGCCAGTACAGAGAGTTATGCATGACCGGGTCACACAGGAACCTTGAAGAACATAATGAGATAACATCCACACATACAAACAAGAACAAACACTGGAACGCACAGGAACTGGGAAACAATGCTATAACCACACCCCAAACACACATGATAAAACACCGGATTACGCAGGAAGCAGGAAAAGAAACACAAACACATACACAAAGACAGACACCAGAAAGCCCAGCACACAAAGCTGGGACCAAAGAGCCAGAGCTCAACCCCCGCAAACACAACTAGGTGAGTACATCCAACAGCAAAAGCACACAATACAGGAAACAGTACATATAAAACACACATAGGAAACAAACCACAGTACAAACACAACACAACCCCCAAACGGGGCGAGCAAAAAACCTGGATACAAGACATACATATAGCAGACAAGGCAACAATTACAAAAATACAGGGAGTACACAAATCAAGCACAAGTACTATGCATATTTATCCGGGAACTCCTGCGCCGGAGAGCGCAAGCAGTAAGCCTCCCAAATCAGCGTGATGTCATCGGGCACCAGTCGACCAGGAGATACAAAAGGCCGAAGCATCAAATCCGGCACCCCATAAATGAACCCTTTTGCCAACGGCACCCAAATAGTAGAAGAGCACCACGGGATCGGACGCACTCGGTCATCCAAAGTGGGTTCCTAGGACTGAGTCCTACGGACCACGTCCCCAGAGGCAGTGACCACAGAGAGGTGGTTTCATACTAGGGGGCATTGCACTGGGATTCACACTGGGTTTCGAACTGGGCTTCACGCTGGGGGGGACCCGCAGAGGATGCAGACACGCCAGAGCCACCGCCACCGGGCACAGGAGCTGAGGCCCCCCGGCGCACATCCTTCCTCAGCACCATGACGAGGTCCCGATCATCAGGGGCAACCTCCCTCTGTGGGGAGTCAACAGCAGGAGGCTCAGGGGGCGACACAGGAGGTAGCAGAGCCCCCACAGCACCGCCAACCACGGCTGGAGACGCCGGAGCACCATACTCTCCCACCTCCACCCAAGGCACACCACGAAGGCGAGACACACTCGGAACCCGCTTCGAGCGCTTGGAGAACGGCTGCCAGTCGTCCGAGCTATCACCCCCACCATCCCGCATCACAACAGAACTCTCCGATGGGAGTGCCTTCAAAGCACGGCCCCTGAGAACCGCAGCTTCCACAACCGGGGGCACCGGGCCACACACCACAGGATACAGCCCCTCGCGGATATCCAGAGTGACAAGAGACACCGTATCCAAGGACGGAACAGGCAGGGGCGGCCGAGACAGAGCGGGCTGGGTCAGCAGGGGCAGGGACGGCTCAGGCGGGGAAGCCGGAGGCGGGGCCGCCTCAAGCCCCACGTCAACACATACACCACCACCCACATCCGCACCCAGGCGAGCCGCAGGATCCAACACCGGGGCATCAGTCAGCAGGGAAGCAACACACATCCCAGCACTTGGAGACAGATCCGGGGCCGACAACGGGGGAAAATCCTCCTCCTGGAAGAGGTTAACAAAGGTGACCCGGTGCTCCTCTCACCCAGCTGCCTGGTGGCCCGGTAGGCTGCACCTGAAACATGTTTGGGGCTGTCCTGCATGAAACACACGAATAGGGAACCCCAACAGCATGATGGAGAATGGTATAGGATCCCTGAGATGCATGGCGAGAGTGCAGGTCTGACATGGGACCCCGTTTCCACCTCCTGGTGGGGACGGCGTTCACCCTCACATGAAGGACCCGCCCAAAACGGGCAAAGTACCGACGTAGAAAGTCTTCAGGGAACTCGAAGGGTGTCCCATGCACCGCCACATACGTCGTTGTACCACAGCGATCTGAGAAAGTCATTAACCCGCCATCACCAGGCAGAGTGAAAGAGAGCCCATCATAGCACACGACGAGATCACAGTAAAGGAGCCAAACTTTACAATCACCCGCCTCCCAGCCAGCAGCTGCTCACCACACACACAGCCTCCACAGGAACACGCAATATGTCGAGTAACACCACTTCCACTGCCTGGTAGGAAGTATTTCCGGAAAACTCGAGGCCAATGGAGTCCTGCTTGACGACAGGGGGCACAGGCCCCCCATTCTGCAGACCGGCACGGCCCCAAAGGCCCCTCTGGAAAAACACGGCACGCTAGCCACTGACAACACCTACCCATGGTGGTGTGTTGGTGTTGGTTGTGTGGTGGTGGTGTTGTGATGTTGCTGAAGAAATTCCTTACCTGGAGAATATTTAGAAATGTTTCACTACAAAAGCCATTTAATATACCATCTAAATTATTTGGACCACTTAGAATGTATCAATAGAGCATTCTATAGAGCACAGGCCAGAGCGATACACAATACTATACACTGGGAAAAGTTTAGAGGCATTTGTTCCAAATCTGCACAGGGAAGTAACTCCCTGGGAGCCCAAGAGGCATGGCAGGAAGTGCAAAATAGCTCTATTGAAAAGCTGAAAGAAATATTTATTACCAAAATCTTTATTAAAACGTATTAAAAAGAACCATCGTGAGAGTTACTCTCTGTTCAGTTTCAATTGACTAATTAACCCGCAAGTAATAAGTGCATAGTTAATACGGACCGGCCCACGGACCAGCCCATGGGCCGGCCCACGGACCAGCCCATGGACCGGCCCACGGACCAGCCCATGGGCCGGCCCACGGACCAGCCCATGGGCCGGCCCACGGACCAGCCCATGGGCCGGCCCACGGACCAGCCCATGGGCCGGCCCACGGACCAGCCCATGGGCCGGCCCACGGACCAGCCCATGGGCCGGCCCACGGACCAGCCCATGGACCGGCCCACGGACCAGCCCATGGGCCGGCCCACGGACCAGCCCATGGGCCGGCCCACGGACCAGCCCACGGGCCGGCCCACGGACCAGCCCATGGGCCGGCCCACGGACCAGCCCATGGGCCGGCCCACGGACCAGCCCACGGGCCGGCCCACGGACCAGCCCATGGGCCGGCCCACGGACCAGCCCACGGGCCGGCCCACGGACCAGCCCATGGGCCGGCCCACGCCCCACGCCGCCTGACCACTACGTCATGCATCATAATAATAAACTAGGAAACAAAATTTGCCTCCTATCACTTCTTATAATTTTCATAACTGTAACAAATTAATGAATTCTTAACAGAGAAGTGTGATGGATCAACACATTCACCATTGGATTGCAGAGGCAGCACCATTGGATTGCAGAGAGGCAGCACCATTGGATTGCAGAGAGGCAGCACCATTGTGTTGCAGAGAGGGAGCACCATTGTGTTGCAGAGGCAGCACCATTGGATTGCAGAGAGGCAGCACCATTGAGTTGCAGAGAGGCAGCACCATTGAGTTGCAGAGAGGCAGCACCATTGGATTGCAGAGAGGCAGCACCATTGAGTTGCAGAGAGGCAGCACCATTGAGTTGCAAAGAGGGAGCACCATTGTGTTGCAGAGAGGCAGCACCATTGAGTTGCAGAGAGGCAGCACCATTGTGTTGCAGAGAGGCAGCACCATTGAGTTGCAAAGAGGGAGCACCATTGTGTTGCAGAGAGGGAGCACCATTGTGTTGCAGAGAGGCAGCACCATTGTGTTGCAGAGAGGCAGCACCATTGTGTTGCAGAGAGGCAGCACCATTGTGTTGCAGAGAGGCAGCACCATTGTGTTGCAGAGAGGCAGCACCATTGTGTTGCAGAGAGGCAGCACCATTGGATTGCAGAGAGGCAGCACCATTGGATTGCAGAGGCAGCACCATTGGATTGCAGAGAGGCAGCACCATTGGATTGCAGAGGCAGCACCATTGAGTTGCAGAGAGGCAGCACCATTGTGTTGCAGAGAGGCAGCACCATTGAGTTGCAGAGAGGCAGCACCATTGTGTTGCAGAGAGGCAGCACCATTGGATTGCAGAGGGGCAGCACCATTGAGTTGCAGAGAGGGAGCACCATTGTGTTGCAGAGAGGCAGCACCATTGAGTTGCAGAGAGGCAGCACCATTGTGTTGCAGAGAGGCAGCACCATTGGATTGCAGAGAGGCAGCACCATTGAGTTGCAGAGAGGGAGCACCATTGTGTTGCAGAGAGGCAGCACCATTGAGTTGCAAAGAGGGAGCACCATTGTGTTGCAGAGAGGGAGCACCATTGTGTTGCAGAGAGGCAGCACCATTGAGTTGCAGAGAGGCAGCACCATTGAGTTGCAGAGAGGCAGCACCATTGAGTTGCAGATAGTGTTTTGATGCCGCTCACAACTTGGCGACATGTAAATCAAGTGGAGTTGGCCTCACTCCTTAACCAGGAATGGTAGTTCCCCTACCAGGTGGTCGCTGAGCAGCCAGTTCCCCTACTAGGTGGTCGCTGAGCAGCCAGTTCCCCTACCAGGTGGTCGCTGAGCAGCCAGTTCCCCTACTAGGTGGTCGCTGAGCAGCCAGTTCCCCTACCAGGTGGTCGCTGAGCAGCCAGTTCCCCTACCAGGTGGTCGCTGAGCAGCCAGTTCCCCTACTAGGTGGTCGCTGAGCAGCCAGTTCCCCTACCAGTTGGTCGCTGAGCAGCCAGTTCCCCTACCAGGTGGTCGCTGAGCAGCCAGTTCCCCTACCAGGTGGTCGCTGAGCAGCCAGTTCCCCTACCAGGTGGTCGCTGAGCAGCCAGTTCCCCTACCAGGTGGTCGCTGAGCAGCCAGTTCCCCTACCAGGTGGTCGCTGAGCAGCCAGTTCCCCTATCAGGTGGATGCTGAGCAGCCAGTTCCCCTACCAGGTGGTCGCTAAGCTGCTATTTCCCCTACCAGGTGGTCGCTGAGCAGCCAGTTCCCCTACCAGGTGGTCGCCAAGCAGCCAGTTCCCCTACCAGGTGGTCGCCAAGCAGCCAGTTCCCCTACCAGGTGGTCGCCAAGCAGCCAGTTCCCCTACCAGGTGGTCGCCAAGCAGCCAGTTCCCCTACCAGGTGGTCGCCAAGCAGCCAGTTCCCCTACAGGAGGCTCAGCATCAAATTTACATAGAAACAAACTCAGGTTTACCCAGGGTAGTGTATGATTAAAATTTAAATTTTGCCCCGAGGGGCGAGTTTATTGGGCAGCGCCACTCATCTTGTGAGTGGACACACCACCATAGTGACAGTATTGGGCAGCGTCACTCATCTTGTGAGTGGACACACCGCCATAGTGACAGTATTGGGCAGCGCCACTCATCCTGTGAGTGGACACACCACCATAGTGACAGTATTGGGCAGCGCCACTCATCCTGTGAGTGGACACACCGCCATAGTGACAGTATTGGGCAGCGCCACTCATACTGTGAGTGGACACACCGCCATAGTGACAGTATTGGGCAGCGCCACTCATCCTGTGAGTGGACACCGCCATAGTGACAGTATTGGGCAGCGCCAGTCATCCTGTGAGTGGACACACCGTCATAGCAGCATGTACAACACTCCCCAATAGGAAGAAAACCCGCTGGGTTGTTCATCCTGTCACTTGTACCCAGACACAGCTGGGACTTGCTTAACTGTCTCAAGTGAACAGCTCCTCAAACAAGATGATTTCCATCTGTCAACCCTTAAAAGCTTACGTTATCTTTGTTCTCAATACGCGCTTTTTCTGCAAATCTGCGTTGGAAAGCATTATCCTTAATTACCATGTATGCTGCACCAGCCCTGCGATTGACAGGATTAGATGACCCGTCAGTGTAGATTTGATCTAGTTCATCTCCGGCTTCTTTATAAATTTCCTCGAGATACTTGTGCCTCATTTCTCGTGGTAACATGTTGGATTTTTTCGTTGCCATTTCATTGATGATGATCTTGCATGAGTCATCCTCCCAGGAAGGTGACCTCTCTACAGGCAGGAGCTCACGGGCTTGCTCAAGCAGGTGAAGCTCTTCCAGGTACCAGACTGATCTGTGATGCCATTTTCTGCTTCTCCTCTTTCCCCCTGTATGTAATTCAGAGCTCAGTTTTTTCTTGGCAATATCATCGTAATGGGGATCTCTGGCTATCCTAATTGCAAGCTTAACGTTCAGTTCCTTAATTCTGCTTTTAACACTGGGGAGGGACAACTCCTCTCGTAGATTAGACGTTTTGGCAGTTCTTGAAACTCCAAGAATGATTGTCATGGCTTCATTTTGAATGCTTTTGAGCCTTTTCATATCGCTTTGGGAGTAGGTGCACAGAACTGGTGCGGCATTATGTAATATCTAAATCAAATCAAAGTCTAAACTCAAACAAAGTCAAACAGGTCTAAACAGGCTGGACGGTCTTAATATTAATTAATTAAAGAAATTAAACTAACACCATTTAATATTTGGGTAGGAAGTTGTATTGTTTTTTTTTCTACCACAGACGTGGCCAGACATTTACAATGCTAACCAGCATATATACATTTTCTTCTGTCCTCCATGGACAGGGTTAGAGATGTGTTAAACATATAGTTCAAGGGTTTATTGAACACTCAACCACAGAAGGTGATTCGGTGCTTTTAAAATGCTAAGCTAACCTACATATGTAAATACATAGATACACAGATTTACGTACGCCCTACATAAAGTGTTCGATGTGTCGTTTACATAGTGTCATTAATGTGCATTTACAAAGGTGAAATGTAATTCTGATCAGCTTCCATATATACTTTATACATATACAAATACATACACACACACACACACACACACACACATATACGTACATATACATATATACATACATATATACACACACATGCATTCACATACATTTGTCTCTTTTACTCTGACAGGGTGAGATAGCTGATAGAGAAACTAGTGTGCAATTAAGCACTTAATCACTGAAGGTGATTAGGGTGCTTTTACAAGCTCAGGTTATATAGTTACATCACATACATACATTATATAATTGATACATTACATGGTTAATCTTGGGTACAAGTCCAATATATCATCAACTGTTCCAGTACTCGTATAGTAATTACACAGTTCAGCATACCTTAGCCCAGGAGGGCGAAAGTCAGTCAATATGGGACATTCTACAATATAATGTTCATGGGAGTGCATGCTTTCTCTTTCACTCTCTTTTCTCTTTGTGTATTGGGTGTGTGTAGGGAGGTCCATTGGGTGTGTGTAGGGAGGTCCATTGGGTGTGTGTAGGGAGGTCCATTGGGTGTGTGTAGGGAGGTCCATTGGGTGTGTGTAAGGTGTACTGGGGTTTGTAGGGGAGGTGTTTTTAGTGTTTTACGTTCGTGTGAGTACACTCGGGACGACTGCTCCAACATGCACTCAGGAAATTCACTCTTTGTTCACCCCCCAGGGGGCTATCAGCCCCTACCACGAGAGCTGCAGAGGATCTCTTGAGTGCAATATTCTCTGTTGATGTTCTGGGGCCACTCCTGTGTCCCAGCCAGGTCCCGGCGGGTTCTTGATGAGTCCTTCGTGGGACCCTTGCTGGTCTTTGGCAGGTCGTCAATGTGTACTTGGTGAGTCCTTGGAAGGTCCTCGGGGGAGGGGGTCACGGATAGCCCCAGGTGGGTGCTTGTAGGGGCCACGGTGGGCCCTTGGTGAGTCGTTTGTTGGAGATTCTTGGTGGGTCTCATTCCTCGTGAAGCCAAGATGGGGGGGGGGTCCTTAGTAGAGCACTGCATCAGTGTTGTAGCTGACACACTGTAGTGCTACAGTGTTGCAGCTGACACACTATAGTGCTACAGTGTTGTAGCTGACAGAAGGTAGTGCTACAGTGTTGCAGCTGACAGAAGGTAGTGCTACAGTGTTGCAGCTGACACACTGTAGTGCTACAGTGTTGCAGCTGACACACTGTAGTGCTACAGTGTTGTAGCTGACAGAAGGTAGTGCTACAGTGTTGCAGCTGACACACTGTAGTGCTACAGTGTTGCAGCTGACACACTGTAGTGCTACAGTGTTGTAGCTGACAGAAGGTAGTGCTACAGTGTTGCAGCTGACACACTGTAGTGCTACAGTGTTGTAGCTGACACACTATAGTGCTACAGTGTTGTAGCTGACACACTATAGTGCTACAGTGTTGTAGCTGACACACTATAGTGCTACAGTGTTGTAGCTGACACACTGTAGTGCTACAGTGTTGTA